AATCAAAAAATTGCGAAATGACACCCTCGACAAATTCGTGCAGCATCTCATCAATCGAACACCATCGCGATTCGGCCTCGATCGGCTCGCTCTCGTCTTCTTTCTCGTCGTCTTCCTCAAATTTTAGGTGTGAGTTTGCTATTTTCATTTTTTTTCCCACCGAAAAAAACGTGTGTTTCCAGCGTTTTGTGCGGTTCACCGAGACGCCAAATTGCGGACCAATTTATTTCTATCAATGATATATCGAATTATTAACAATTTTAAGAAATTTGAGTGAAGAGATTTCACAAACAATTTTCGAATTTTTGCATTTTTTGCCAAAATTTTGAGGAAAATTGAAAAATTCTTACAAAATTTTCGAATTTTTGCATTTTTCGCGCAAATTTTGAGAAAAATTGAAAAATTCTTACAAAATTTTCAAATTTTTGCATTTTTTGCCAAAATTTTGTGGAAAATTGAAAAATTCTTACAAAATTTTCGAATTTTTGTATTTTTCGCCAAAATTTTGTGGAAAATTGAAAAATTCTTACAAAATTTTCGAATTTTTGCATTTTTTGCCAAAATTTTGAGAAAAATTGAAAAATTCTTATAAAATTTTCAAATTATTGCATTTTTTGCCAAAATTTTGAGAAAAATTGAAAAATTCTTATAAAATTTTCAAATTTTTGCATTTTTCGCGCAAATTTTGAGAAAAATTGAAAAATTCTTACAAAATTTTCGAATTTTTGCATTTTTTGCCAAAATTTTGTGGAAAATTGAAAAATTCTTACAAAATTTTCGAATTTTTGTATTTTTTCGCCAAAATTTTGTGGAAAATTGAAAAATTCTTACAAAATTTTCGAATTTTTGCATTTTTTGCCAAAATTTTGAGAAAAATTGAAAAATTCTTATAAAATTTTCAAATTATTGCATTTTTTTGCCAAAATTTTGAGAAAAATTGAAAAATTCTTATAAAATTTTCAAATTTTTGCATTTTTCGCGCAAATTTTGAGAAAAATTGAAAAATTCTTACAAAATTTTCGAATTTTTGCATTTTTTGCCAAAATTTTGAGGAAAATTGAAAAATTCTTACAAAATTTTCAAATTTTTGCATTTTTTTGCCAAAATTTTGAGAAAAATTGAAAAATTCTTATAAAATTTTCAAATTTTTGCATTTTTCGCGCAAATTTTGAGAAAAATTAAAAAATTCTTATAAAATTTTCAAATTTTTGCATTTTTCGCGCAAATTTTGAGAAAAATTGAAAAATTCTTACAAAATTTTCGAATTTTTGCATTTTTTGCCAAAATTTTGAGAAAAATTGAAAAATTCTTATAAAATTTTCAAATTATTGCATTTTTTGCCAAAATTTTGAGAAAAATTGAAAAATTCTTATAAAATTTTCAAATTTTTGCATTTTTCGCGCAAATTTTGAGAAAAATTGAAAAATTCTTACAAAATTTTCGAATTTTTGTATTTTTCGCCAAAATTTTGTGGAAAATTGAAAAATTCTTACAAAATTTTCGAATTTTTGCATTTTTTTGCCAAAATTTTGAGAAAAATTGAAAAATTCTTATAAAATTTTCAAATTTTTGTATTTTTCGCCAAAATTTTGTGGAAAATTGAAAAATTCTTACAAAATTTTCGAATTTTTGCATTTTTTGCCAAAATTTTGAGAAAAATTGAAAAATTCTTATAAAATTTTCAAATTATTGCATTTTTTGCCAAAATTTTGAGAAAAATTGAAAAATTCTTATAAAATTTTCAAATTTTTGCATTTTTCGCGCAAATTTTGAGAAAAATTGAAAAATTCTTACAAAATTTTCGAATTTTTGCATTTTTTGCCAAAATTTTGTGGAAAATTGAAAAATTCTTACAAAATTTTCAAATTTTTGCATTTTTTTGCCAAAATTTTGAGAAAAATTGAAAAATTCTTATAAAATTTTCAAATTTTTGCATTTTTCGCGCAAATTTTGAGAAAAATTGAAAAATTCTTATAAAATTTTCAAATTTTTGCATTTTTTGCCAAAATTTTGAGGAAAATTGAAAAATTCTTACAAAATTTTCGAATTTTTGCATTTTTCGCCAAAATTTTGTGGAAAATTGAAAAATTCTTACAAAATTTTCAAATTTTTGTATTTTTCGCCAAAATTTTGTGGAAAATTGAAAAATTCTTACAAAATTTTCGAATTTTTGCATTTTTCGCGCAAATTTTGAGAAAAATTGAAAAATTCTTACAAAATTTTCGAATTTTTGCATTTTTTGCCAAAATTTTGTGGAAAATTGAAAAATTCTTACAAAATTCTCAATTTTTTGCATTTTTCGCCCAATTTTTGAGAAAAATTGAAAAATTCTTATAAAATTTTCAAATTTTTGCATTTTTTGCCAAAATTTTGAGAAAAATTGAAAAATTCTTATAAAATTTTCAAATTTTTGCATTTTTCGCGCAAATTTTGAGAAAAATTGAAAAATTCTTACAAAATTTTCGAATTTTTGCATTTTTCGCCAAAATTTTGTGGAAAATTGAAAAATTCTTACAAAATTCTCAAATTTTTGCATTTTTCGCCCAAATATTGTGGAAAATTTTAAAAAATTCTCAATTTTTTGCTTCTTCAATGACTCACTTTTTTGTTTCGTTTTTACCTGTCCATTTTTGGTAGTTTTTCGGCTTATCTCGTCACCGCCTTCTCTGCGTCTCCTCGTTCTCCACACTCTCTCATTATCGGTTCGATTCGGGTCACATGTGATTCGTCAGCTGTTTTTCGCCCGTTTTCACCCAGATTTTTGTTGATTTTGATAAGAAGATGCGATTTTTGAGACGAATTCATCATTTTTTTTGAATTCCCAACACCCATTTTTGGCGTTTTTTCAAAGAATATCGCATTTTGGCAAAAAATTGCCAATTTTCGGGCATTTTTTGACAGTTCCACCATCGATTTTCGGCGTTTTTGAGATGATTCCGCAATTTTTCGCAATTAGATTCAGAATTTCTTCGGTTTTGACGATTTTTATGTTTTCTAGCAGAAAAATTGAGAATTTTTATCAAATCCGACCTAAAAATTGCATTTTTAAACCAAAATTTTTGAAAAATCCCAAATTGTTTAAAAAATTTTCAAATTTGTCCTCAAAAGGTGATTTTTTAATGAAAATCATCAAAAAATCTCATTCTTGCCATTTTTCCATGATTTTTCACTAAAATGATTGCTATTAAAAATTGTTTTTTGAGAATTTTCAGTTTTTTTTAGAAGAAAATTAATAAATGTTATCAATTCTCTCAAAAATTGCAATTTTTCACCAGAATGTTGAAATTTTTTGCTAAACTTTGCCAAAAAAATGCGATTCTTAAATGAATTTCATCAAAAATCCAAAGTTTTCATTAGAATTATAGATTTTTCGAGAAAATTAGAGAAAAAGATAATAATTTTAGTGGAAAATCATGAAAAATTGGCAAAAATGAGATTTTTTGATGATTTTCATTAAAAAATCACCTTTTGAGGACAAATTTGAACAAAAATTGGGATTTTTTCAAAAATTTTGGTGAAAAAATGCAATTTTTAGGTCGGATTTGATAAAAATTCTCAATTGTTCTGCTAGAAAACATAAAAATCGTTAAAACCGAAGAAAATCTGAATCTAATTGCGAAAAATTGTGAAATCATCTCAAAAAAGGCCGAAAATCGATGGTGGAACTGTCAAAAAATGCCCGAAAATTGGCAATTTTTTGCCAAAATTAGAAGGCAATTTTGAAAATTGAAAATCAAACCCAAAATTGTGTTGTTTCGATTCTCGATTGTTCTTTCAAACCCCCTCTCATTTGTTTGTCGTTTGTCCCGTATTTGGCAATTGATAAAAAATGTTCGAGAATGCCCCATTTAAGGGCCCCGACGCCTTTCGTTTTCCCCATTTAAGGCATTCCCCTTATCATTCGTGTTCTATGTACCCAATTGTCGAAAAAATCTCGCGTTGTTTTTCAATTTTCGATTTTTAGGCTTGAAATTGTAAAAGAAATTATTGGGTACTGTAGCATACAGTAATCTTTTTCGACAATTTCAAGCCTGAAATTCAAAATCAAATATTTTTGGCGCTTCTTTATTTTTTTGAAAATTGAAAATTCATGCTGAAATTAAAAAAACTTTTTCATTCAAAAACTTGTGAAATCAATTGGCGCTGACATTTCAATGCCATAAAATTGGTGATTTTTTAATTTTTTTTTTGAAAAATTTTAGGCTTGAAATTGTTTGAAAAATATACCTACAGTAACCTTTTTTGATAATTTTAAGTCAAAAAAATGAAATTTTAATAAATTTTATTTTTTAAGATTTTAAATTGCACAAAAATTGAGCACTTTGAAATTTTTAGCTCTACAATTTTGAATTATTCCAAAAATTGTTGGAAATTTAAGAAATGTCGCACAAAAAAATTTTTTTTGGAATATCACCGTAATTTTTTCAATGAAAAATTGACACAAAGCGATGATTCGGGCGGTGTTGGGTCCCGTTTGGAAAATTGTGCCACAAAAACGCATTTGTTCGTTTGCAATGACCACAAAAATCGAGAGACTACAATAATACAAACAAAAAATATATGTGTTGGTCATAAAATCGGCGCATTTTTTCTCGTGCCCAAATTTTTTGGTCAATTTTCTCATCGAAAATAAAGAATGACCGGCACACACACACGAGAAAAAATAGCTGAGTGGTCAACAACAACAACAACAACGTCGAATCGGCGCGGCTATACGAAAATAAGGCGAAAAATCGTTTCGTTTCCTCTCGAAAATATGCCCAGCACTCGTATGCACCTTTAAAGTCCATCAGTTCGCATTTGTTTTTGTTTTTTCTTCTTCAAATTATTCACGCGCGTTTTTATTCCAAATTTTAGGCGTGAAATTGTTTCGTCGGGGGATTACTGTAGGTCTCACAATTTGAGGCCTAAAATTTGGGCGAATTTAAATATTTTTTTTTCGGATTACTGTAGACTTCAAAAATCGAACAGACTAAGAGATTGCAGAATTCCGTTCATTTATGGCTCTTGGTGTGCTCGGCAACTATCGAATTCTCGCCAATTATTTGTATCGGCTCGCCGACGAGTTCACACCCGACACCACACCGCTTCACGCCAACAATTGCAAGTGCACCATTGCCGATCGACTTTGGTGCGACTATTTTGGGTCAGTTTTGATTTTGGCGCTCAAATTTGGTGGCGATTTTCGATTTCTTGCTTTTGGTGCATTTTGCCGTCAAATATGATGTTTTCCAATTAATTTCTATAAGCTGGTGCATTTTACCGTCAAATATGGTGCCGATTTTCGATTTCTCGCTTTTGGTGCATTTTGCCGTCAAATATGATGTTTTTAAATTAATTTTTATAAACTGGTGCATTTTACCGTCAAGTATGCTGCCGATTTTCGATTTCAAGTCTCTGGTGCATTTTGGCGTCAAATCTTGTGCTTGTCTGCAATTTAATGTCAAATATGACGTTTTAAACTGGAATCCTCGTGTTTTCTGCATTTTTGCGTCGATTATCACTTTTTTCCGCAAAATCGCGTCAAATCTGATGTCCAGCGCATTTTCTGCAATATTGCGTCGAAAATGACGTTTCTTTTTTTGAAATTTCCGCGTTTTATTTCGCTACCAAAAAAGGAGCGAATTAATTATTGATGAAAACGGCCCATCTAGACGCCGAATGCTGTTGGCCATGTATGGAAGCGAATTTTTTTTCTGGCGCGCGTTTCTAGGCAATCATGGCTCAATTTTTTCGAGTTTTCCCGAAAATGCGAAATTTTTCCGTTTTTTTTTCAATCGATTTTTCGCATTTTCGAATCGAAATTTATAATTAAAAAAATTCTGGTGTATTTTTGCGTCAAATATAGTGTTTTTAAATCAATTTCTATATTTTAGTGCATTTTGGCGTCAAATATAGTGTTTTTAAATCAATTTCTATATTTTAGTGCATTTTGGCGTCAAATATAGTGTTTTTAAATCAATTTATACATTTTAGTGCATTTTTGCGTCGCCAAAATTGCCAAATTTGAACAATTTTATTGAATAAATTTCGATTTTTTTTAAACAAGAAACTAAAGAAGCAAAAATTCGAAATTGGTTTGGAAAAAAATCGCGAAAATCTCATATGATTCTCCAAAAAAATATTTTGAGCTTTCGAATTTCACGGAAAATAACATTTTTGAAAATTTTTGCGATTTTTTTTGAAAAATTGTAATAAAAAAGTGAAAATTTCTGGAGATTTTCGCAATTGCATCAAAAAAAAATTGAAATTTCGAAGATAAATTTGGAAAAATTGAGAAATTCGCGATTTTCTTACGTGTTGAAATTGAAAAATCGCAAAAACACTCGAATTTTTCGAAAAAAAAATGTTGGAAAAATTTGGAAATTCGCGATTTTGCTGCGAAATTTCGAATTTTCACGATTTTCTCGAAAAATCTGAAAATTTGTGATAAAAAAATTTTTAAACAAAAATTTCAAAAAAAAAAAAAAAAACAATTATTTTGCAATATTCGCCCATTTCCTGCCTCATTCACTCAGGTAAATGAAAATCAATCGAATTCGAAGAAAATAATAAAAAATTAACCTGTTTCGATTAAAAAATAATTAGAATACGCTTAAATTCGATTTGAAATCTTGGTTTCGATTCAAAAATCATCGAAATCGATAGATTTATTTCTCAATTTCAATTTTGAAACCTTTTTTGATTTGAAATTTTGGAATAATTCAAAACAGATTAATTTATATTCGATTTAGATTGAAAAATGAATTATTTTCAAATCCGATTGATTTTCTGAGCATGAAAGAAAATATAGTTTTTTTTTGGACGGGGGGGGGGGTCCACGTGAGGTTGATGATATATTGTGCGACGGGTTGCCGCCGGCTCGGCTCGGCCGACGTCACACGTATTGTTCGGCTCTCTCTGTCTCTCTCATGCTGTCGCGCGCGCAACCGTCCGTTGACAGTTTTCCGACGGCAGCCGGAATGCTCGAATGCCGTTGTGTTGAACGTCGAGCCCGCCGTTTTGCTCGGCCATTCCCCACTGCTCGTTTCAACCAATCTTTTTTTCTTCGCGCATTTTTATTTTTATTTTTTTTGCTATACAATTCAACTATCGTTTTATGGCTGATATGCTTCGTTTTGTTGCCCTCACAATTTTGGACCTGAAAATGAAAAAAAAATGAAATCAAGTGGTGCGAGTGTGCGTCGCGGTGTACAACACACAACGGCTGGCTACAGTAACACCATATGTCAAATTTCCCTCATCGCGCAATTTTCCGAAAAATTCAATTCAATTTTTTTTTAAATTTTTTCTCGCATGTTTTGAAGAATTTTAATTTCATTTGAGCAATATTAGCTTGTTTTTTCTTTCTTCGAAAAAAAGTTTCATTAAAAATCGGAATTTCAATTGTATTTTTGAAGAATAAACGTGAAATTTTGAAAAACAAAACTAATGCATTGATTTGATCAACAAAACAAATTGTAAATTGCAAAAAAAAAATTGGAAGAAGACGGCAAAAATTGAGAACGCGTGTGTGTGTGCAATTCGGCGTCACCGTGTACGGCACCAATCATCATTGCATTGCCACCGTACCCTGCGCGATTTTTTTTTCCAGCGGCGCGGGGCAGCTTTTGGCTGGAAGCACAATAATCCGGCTGGCAAATAGGCGCAACGAGTGGCCGCGGCCGCGCCGTCGATGAAGATAGCAGCAGAACGCATCTGTCTGCGTCTCGCGCGGCCCATTCAACGGCCACTTATATTATTTACGTAGCGCGCACGCCCGCGCGCACGGCATCGGTTCCAGTTGAGTATATATATATATTATATATAATATATAATATATTATAGAAAAGTAATCATCGATTAGTACGTTCGAATCGATCAACGACGACCGGTTTCCTCTTCATTTTCCTTCCGTCTTCTCGCTTGATTTGTATTCTTTTTTTTATTTTTTTGGATTTTTTCAGAATGGGGACGTGCATCAGCAAGGAGGCACGTGCTCGTCGACGGGAGCGTCGGCGGATCATCAAACAGAGATTGTGAGTTGCGAAAATGGGAAAAATTTAGCCATCATATTTTTTTAAATGAAAAATTGAAGAGATTTTCAGTGAGATTCGTGAATTTTTTTGCGTGTTTTTCGACCTTGAAGCTTTGATTTTGGCGAATTTCGCGGAAAAAGGCACTTCTTTTTTGTGTTTTTATTGTAATTCGACCTTGCCATTAAAAAAAATGGACATTTTTGTGTAAAAAGCTGACTAATCACGCGTTCGTTGAGAAATCGAATTTTGCGTTTTTTTTTTTGCACGAAATTGTCGACCATTTGAGAATTGTCGATTTTTTTCTCGGAAAAATTTGCGAAAATGCTTGATTTTTGTGAAAAAGTTGGTCGAAAAATCGAAATTTCGCAACAAAATTGCTCGATTTGTGAGGAAATCGCGAAAATCGCAAAAAAAAAATTATCAACATTTCAGTTTTTATCAAAAATGTTCAAATTTTTCTTCGAATTTGCAGATTTTTCGAGAAAATCACGAAAAATTACGTCAAAATTTCATTTTTTTATCACAAATTTTCAGATTTTTCGAGAAAATCGCGAAAATCTCCAGAAAATTTCATTTTTTATCACAAATTTTCAGATTTTTCGAGAAAATCGCGAAAAAAAGTGTCGTCACACGTGAAATTTTGTCGAAAAATTCGAAATTTCGCAGCAAAATCGTGAATTTCCAAATTTTTCCAACATTTTTTTTTCGAAAAATTCGAGTGTTTTTGCGATTTTTCAATTTCAACACGTGCGAAAATCGCGAATTTCTCAATTTTTCCAAATTTTTTCAAATTTTTCTCCGAAATTTCAAATTTTTGATACAATTGCGAAAATCATTCAAAAAAATTTCATTTTTAATCATAAATTCTCAAAATTTTCGCGAATTTCTCAATTTTTTTTCAAATTTGTCTTCGAAATTGCGGATTTTTCGAGAAAATCGCGAAAATTCGAAATTTCGCAGCAAAATCGCGAATTTCTCAATTTTTCCAAATTTATCTTCGAAATTTCAAATTTTTTGATGCAATTGCGAAAATCTTCAAAAAAATTTCATTTTTAATCATAAACTCTCAAATTTTTTGCGAAAATCGCGAATTTCTCAATATTTTTTTCGGCCAAAAATGACAAAAAAAAAACAAAACGAAACCGGAAAATTCGTCATTTCGATTGTTTGATTCGAACGCTATCAATTCAGACGCGACGCGCGATCAACCGGCGGCCGAGGTGATCCGAACTCGACGTCTCGACACACGAATCAGCGGTCGAGGTCCGACGCGACGCAGGACATTCGCGACGACATCAAGGCGCTGATTCTCGAGACACTCGAAGTCATTCGGACATTGGTCAACAAGTAAGACCAATTCTTCGATTTTTTCGCTTGAATTTTCAGCCGATTTGACCAAATTTGCGATTTTTTCGAAAAGAAAACATTGGAATTTTGATGAAAAACTCGCATTTTTTCGAAAAAATCAAACATTTTCCTCAGAAATTTGGATTTGTGAAGATTTTTGTGAAAAAATTGTGACTTTTTTGTCCCTTTAAAAATAGTTTTAAGCACAAAATCCAATTTTTTTTTACAAAAAAAAAAAGATTTTGAGTTAATTTTAAGAAGATTTTTATCGAAAAAATGGCGAGATTTGTAAATTTTTGATGGAAAAAATTTGAAATTCGCGCCAAAATCACGGATTTTCAAAAATTTTTAATTTTTATTCCATTAAAAATTGTATTTTAAAAAAGCGAGATAATTTGAAATCAAAAAAACACGAAAATTGTCGAAATTTGTAAAAATTTTGCTTTTTTTGATGAAAAAATCTGAAATTTTGAGCCAAATTTTGGCAATTTGGAGCTCTTAAATCAATTTTGTGAAAAAATGAAACTTTTATCAAAAAAATCACGTATAAAATGGTCGATTTGTGAATTTTTGGTGTAGAAAAAAATTTTGAATTTTTTTAAATGAAAAAGACAAAAATGCTGAGTGAAATTTTGGAAAAATGTGCGTTTTTTGCAAAAAAAAAATTTTTTTTTCGAAAAATTCGCCAAAAATTGAGGGGATTTCAAAAAAAAAGTGAGTCGAACTATTTTTCAGCGAGCAGGAGCCGCCACAATCGCTATTGAAGCTCAATTTCATTGCCGATGAGGAGAAGGGATGGATAATGGTCGTCAAGGCGTTGATTCATACGGTATGCGCCTTTAAAAGAATCATGTTATCATATTCTCGCACCAAATCGCGCTGTTTTGAAATTGCAATTTGAATTGCCGCCTCGAAAAAGTGCGATGGTCCGAAAAAAAAATTATTGGCTGTGTGCCAATGCGTACGCGCATTTGATGGTCCCACCTGACCCGGACAATCATAATAATTTTTTTTAAAGATTCCCGACAATGATCCGCTGGGTCCGGCGGTCATCTCATTGTTCCTCGACGAGTGCCCGCTGCCGAGCAAAGAGTCGGTGCAGAGTCTGCTGGTCTCGTTGCGATTGTCGGCCGATTTCGTCGACGCGACACTTTTGCCGCCGGCGTGGCACAAAAACATGTGCATCGTGTTGGGGAGTCTCGCCGAGAAGATGGCCGGCACCGCCGCCGTCGCCATGTTCAACGACAACATTCGCGGCTATCTGATGCGGATGATCGTCTACGGACTGCTCTACAATCCGCCGGCCTATCCGAAAGCTTTGGTAAGAGAGAGAGAGAGAGAGAGAGAGAGGTTCTTTCCCGGGAGAAGGTCCGCAGCAGAGCCTTCTCCAAATTGTTCATCAGTTCTGAAAATTTGCGTCAAATTCGCTGTTTGACGCGCATTTGCAGATTTTCGACGTTTTCGTAGATTTATTCGAAACTCCACAAAAAGGTCCTCACAGGAATATGCCCAATTTTGGGGGTGGACGAATTTTTTTTTTTCAAATTCGCGGTATTTTTTTTTGAGGGAGACCGAAATGTTGAGAAATCCCCTAGATTTGTCTTTTTTTGCACAAAAAATCCTCAATTTTTTGCTAAATTTGCGAAAAATTGATAGTTTTTAAGCTGAAAATGCCCGATTTTTTGAAAAAATTTGAAATTCTCCTCTGAAAATCGATCCCTTTGGGCCAAAAAATGCTCAACTTTTTTTTTACTAATTTCTACGGACTGAAACAAGTTTTTATTTGTATTTTTTTGGGAAAAATCTTCCTTTGATTTTTTTTCTATAAAAAAAAATTTTTATTATTGAATTTTTCGACTAATTTAGATTTTTTTTTAATTTTTTGATTCATTTCCGATTTTTTTTGGTTGAAAAATAGAAAATATAGATTTTTGTAAAAATTTTGAACATTTTTGTCATTTTGTACTTGAAAAAAAATTTATCCAAAAAAGATCGAAGCAGGATCGAAAATTCAAAAAAAAAAGTCGAAATTGGAGCAAAAATTTTCAATTTTTCGACCATAATTAGCCAATTATGATATAATTAATATCGTGTTTTTATTTGCAGAAAGAGCGAAACACGCACGCGGTTCGCATGTTCGCGTTGTTGGCGTTGGAGAAGTTCGCGCAAACGCGCGAAAACCAAATCACAATTTGCAAAATGCTCACCAAAATGCCCGTCCATCCGCTAATTGTGAGCTAATTGCCAATTTTCGCGTCCCTAATTAGTCGTGATGCAATTAATAATCGATTACAGAGAATGGAAGAATATTTGAGGAGCGAGAATCTCGAGCGGTATTGGTTCGCGAAACAGGAGGGATTCTGCGCGCAATGGGCCCTCGACAACATTTGTGAGTTTTTTTTTAAAGGCGCATACCGAAATTTGAATCATCTACTATAATAGGTTGTTTAAAGGCGCACATCGCGATTTTTACTAGAATTGTGCTTCTTAAGGGGTGTGATGCGCCTTTAAGAGCCAAAAATTTTATTTAAAGGCTCTTGTTGTTGCAGTTGTCACCGAAGGCCGCCCGTATTCGTACGAGACGTGCGACACGTCGAAAATCAACGCGATGTTGAATCACGAGGACGTCAGCGAATATCTGAAAATCGGGCCCGATGGATTGGAGGTGAGTGCGCCTTTAAACCGCTCAATTCCAATATTTTTTTTGTTTTGTCCAGGCGCGTTGCGACGTCTCGTCGTTCGAATCGGTCCGGTGCACGTTCGAGGTCATCGACGGCGTCTGGTACTACGAGGCGACGGTGCTGACGTCGGGCGTCATGCAAATCGGTCTCGCGACGAAACGCAGCCGCTTCCTGAATCACGAGGGCTACGGCATCGGCGACGACGCCTCGTCGGTGGCCTACGACGGTTGCCGCCAACTCATATGGTACAACGCGCGGAGCACACGGCACGAGCATCCGAATTGGCAGTCGGGTGAGCGCGCCAAATTTTTTGCGGAATTTCGTTTTTCTACGAAAAATCGGGGTCCAAAATTGCAGTCAACCAAAAAGAATGGGGTTTTCTGGAAAAAAAACCAATGTTTCAGGCGACACCGTTGGAATATTATTGGATATTCCGAATGGCGAAGTGGCGTTCTATCTCAACGGCGTTCGTCTGAAGGAGGCGAATCGCGAATTTCTCGCGAATCGCCTACCGTCGGAGGGCGTGTTCGCCGCCGCCTCGTTCATGTCGTTTCAGCAGTGTCGATTCAATTTCGGTGCGACGCGATTCAAATTCAATCCCGGTTGCGAGTTTCGGTGAGCGTTGGGCGTTTTTTTTTTGAGAATTTTTGCCGGCTTAAAAATGAGGCAAAATTGGCGAGGTTTTGGCACCAAAAGTGAGGGGCCCTCTGAAAATGTCACAATTTTTTTGGGTATTATTTTTTTTATCGAAAAAATATCAAATTGATGGATTTTTGCTTGAAAATCGTCTGAAAAATTCACAAAATGCTTTTTTTTTGCCCGAAATTTTGAGGTGAGGTGACAGATTTTGGTTTTTTTCTTCTGAAACATTTTGATTTTTGCGCGGAAATCTTTTGAGAAAAAAAAACTTGCAGCGCTTTTTGGCAGAAATTTTGAGGTGAAGTGACGATTTTCGGGAGCATTTTTTGCAAAAATTATCAAATTCATTGATATTTGCTCGAAATTCGGTTTAAAAAAAATAAAAACTGAAATAATTTGCGTTTTTTGACGCAAAATTCGAGCTGAAATGGCGATTTCTGAAACAACCACAATTTTTGAGAATTTTTAATCGAAAAAATATGAAATTGATGGATTTTTGCTTAAATTTTCTAAAAAACTAATTTTTTGCCTGAAATTTTCAGCTAAGGTGACATTTTTTGGTTTTTTTTTAATTTTTGCGCGAAAATCTTCTGAAAATTGAAATTTCTCCGTCGAAAAAAATTTCAGCGTTTTTTTAACGCAAAATTTAAGCTGAAGTGGCGATTTTCGGGAGCATTTTTCGAAAAAATTATCAAATTCATTGATATTTGCTCGAAATTCGGTTTTTTTAAAATAAAAACTGAAATAATTTGCGTTTTTAGCAGAAAATTTTAGCTGAAACTGAAAATATCACAATTTTTGGGGATTTTTAATCGAAAAATTTATCAAATTGATGGATTTTTGCTTAAATTTTCTAAAAAACTAATTTTTTGCCCGAAATTTTGAGCTAACGTGACATTTTTGGTTTTTTTTTTCGAAAAATTTTCAAATTCATCGACTTTTGTTCGAAAATCTTCTGGAAATTGAAATTTGTCTCTTGAAAAAAAAAAATTCAGCGTTTTTCGACACAATATTTGAGCTGAAATGGGGATTTTCGAAAAATGACGATTTTTGGGGTTTTTTTTGAAAAAAAAAATTAAATTGATTGATTTTTGCTTGAAAATTAAAATAATTTGTAGTTTTTCGGCGAAAATGTGAAGAAATTGAAAAATGTCGATTTTTGTGTTTTTTTTTTTTTTTTCGTGAAAATCGACGAAAAAAATGCTGAAATTGTTGAAAATATTGAAAAAAAAAAAAACCGAAAAATGCGCAAATTTAGGTCATAAATTATACAAAATTAGACGAGAAATGCAAAAATCGCGACAATTGGCGCTCAAAATTCTTCGGAAAATCGAAGCGCCAAACAAATTTGTCCATTTTTTGTTTTGCCCCGGAAAAAATCACCAAAATTGCGTTTGACTCTTCGCTTTTTTTTTTGCAGATGCTTCAACGACTACGGTAGTCTAAGCCACGCGCAACGCACAATAATGCCGCGTCGAATGCGTCTCGAGCAACTCGAGAAGGAGCAAATTCCCGATGATTATTGCACAATTTGTTTTGCCGAGCCGGCGACGACACTCTTGACGCCGTGCAATCACGAGTACTCTCTCTCTCTCTCTCTCTCTCTCTTTGTCCCAAAATTGCCTTTTGATTTTTGCAGGGGCTTCTGCCAACAGTGCGCACTTCAAATGGACCAATGCCCGCTGTGTCGGGCGCCCATCGAAGAGCGAACGTCGAAATCGAACAGGTTCGTTGGAATTGTGAAAACCGGGCATTTTTTCTTTTTTTTTCGCTTTGTTTTGTTTTCACTGAAATCGGCGCATTCTGAAAATGTAAGACGTGTTTTTTTTTGAATTGAACTTATGCGCCTTTAAACGCGTCGGACGAATTTTTGCAATTAAGAGGAATGTGTGAAACAGGTCTGTGCGGCAATGGAATTGCCGATTGCCGAATTTGCCGATTTTTCAAATTGCCGGATTGCCGAAATTTTGATTTTCGGCAATTTGTTGTCAAAAAAAAATCGGCGAAACAAAAAGGAATGTCCATTGAATAATTTGGGATACCGTGAAAATTCGGTATTTATATTTCGAATTATCGTGGAAAAATTTAATAGCCGAAATTTTTATCTCTGGCAACTTGCTTAATTGCCGGATTGCCGAAATTTTGATTTTCGGCAATTTGTTGTCAAAAAAAAATCGGCGAAACAAAAAGGAATGTCCATTGAATAATTTGGGATACCGTGAAAATTCGGTATTTATATTTCGAATTATCGTGGAAAAATTTAATAGCCGAAATTTTTATCTCTGGCAACTTGCTTAATTGCCGGATTGCCGAAATTTTGATTTTCGGCAAATTGCCGAAATTTCCGATTGCCGCACAGCCCTGGTGTGAAACACGCGCACGCCAAAATTGCGCGCGAGAATTGGCGCGAAATTCAAAAAAAAAGGATCCGATTCCGGAATTATTTTTTGTTTTCCTCCAGATCGTTTGAATCATCGTTCATCGCGAAATCGCCATCGCAAACCGGCAATAATTCGCTGAACGATTTCGTGCGGACGGGAAGTCAACGGAAAAGCATGAGGGCTAGCTCGTTTCAGCCGGCGAACGCGAACGAGACGATGGAAACGGTGGGTGATTGGTGCGCACTTAATTGGCCTTGCCTAATTAAAATTGATTAGGCATAACGTGAAATTATGGGAGAATATTATACTTTTTTGTCGGCAAAAATATGCAAGATCGTTTTTTTTTCAAATATTTAATTATTAATTATATGCAATTAAGAAAATTGTATAGAATTTCGGGTAATTAACTTGAAAAGAAAAGATAGATTCAGGCATTATGTAATCAATTAGACTAGATAATTAGTTATCAAACAAATTAGGGATTTTAATAGAAAATGAGTTAATTAGACGCCTAATTAATGAGATAATTGCAGGCGATTCGCTCAAACGGGCGTTCGGCGTCTCGACGTCACACCCATGTGTAATTGCGGATCTTCTTTGGCGCAATAATGAAGAAGCCGAATGTTTTCTCTAAATTATCGGAGAAATATGTGTTAATTGCCCCCCAATTTATATCAATGTATGTCATTTCCCAAAAAACCAATGTGTAATTAATTATATGCATATTATATAATTTGTAAAATATGAGATTTTGTCATTGGCGCGCACTTGCTCAACTCGTTTTTTTTTGGGGCCGATTTTCGACGGGTTATTTTCGCCATTTTTTGTGCGTTTTTTTTTCCTTTCTTCTTCTATTCTTCTCTTTTTTCTATTGGTTTATGTTTCGAAATTGCTTTATTGTGATTAACTGAATCCCGAGTGGCTTGTCGTATGAAATAAAGTTGATTGTATTTAGGCATGCCGAGAACACTTGATGAGGAATTGAAGTTTATTAAGCCCATCTCGCCGAGTGTCTATGGCATTTCCAAAGGATTTGTGCCAAATATGAATGTGAGAAATGGAATTGGGCGAAAAAAGAAGAAAAATTGAAAAAAACCATTTTTTTTTCCACATTGAAATTGATGAATTTTTCGGAATTCCGAATTTTGAAATTCTTTTTTTTTGCAAAAGCTTAAAGAGGAGCATTTTTCCATTAAATTTAGCAGTTTGTTGAGCTCAAAATTTTGGATTTTGCCAATTCGCGATTTATTTTTGCGAAATTTTCTGGAATTTCGATTTTTGCAGGTCGACGCCAAATTCTATGCGAATGACAATTTGATGGCGCTTTTGAACGAGGAACTACACGCGTTCACCGAATTTGGTATTGATTTTTTATTGAAATTTGAAAATTTCGCAATTTTTCGCCAATATAATTCAAAAATTTGAAATTTAGCCAAAAACGATCGAAATTCGAAATTTTAAGAATTGAAATGTTTTTATTTTGCTGAAAATTGGCGGAAATTTAAATTTCAGTCAATAAATTTGGTTTTGGATTATTTTTTCCACAAATTGAAGAATCGAACTGGCTTAAATTTGCCTAAATCATTTTTCTGCTTTTTTTGAAGATTTTTAGTAGCCAAATTCTAAAATAGCGGTTTTTTTGGCTAAAAAATGGCTGTAATTCGAATTTCTTTCGCAAAATTGAGATTTTTTGCAGAAAAATTTGTAGTTTATTCGAAACTAATCCAAATTTGCCACTTTTTTTCATGAATTTCATTGAAAAAAAAATTCGAGCGAAAAATTTGCAGCCGTCGGCGGTTTTCTTCCGGCGACGAAACAGATTGCCAACGTCGCCGCTCTGCCGGGCATCGTCGGCTCGTCGGTCGGTTTGCCGGACATCCATTCCGGTTACGGCTTCTCGATCGGCAACGTCGCCGCGTTCGACGTCGCCGATCCGAATTCGATCATCTCGCCCGGTAGGCGACGAAAAACTCGCGAATTTCGCCTTGACGCCGAATTTCAGGCGGCGTCGGATTCGACATCAATTGCGGCGTTCGACTCATCCGAACCAATCTTCACGAATCCGATTTGAAAGATGTCAAAGTTGGTGGCATTATTTTCTTTTTTTTTTTCGTTTTCTTGAAAAATCACGACTCTTCATGCAAAAATTGCGTCGAATTTTGATCATTTTTCGAAAAATTGTGATTTTGTGTTGAAAAACGGCAAAAATTTCGAGAAAATGTGAAATTTCTGCTGAAAATTTTGGAAACAAAAGTGCGATTCGGCGAAAAATTCATTTCGGCGCATTTTTTTGTCTTAAAATCCCCAAATTTTTTGATGGAAATTTGAAAAATTGCAATTTTGTCAAAAAAATTTCAAACAAAATATGGGATTGTGAGAGATTTGATCAAAAATTCGAAAAAAAATTTAAATTTGAGTTGAAAATTTCCAAATTGTTGTCGATTTTCTTGCAGGAAACCCTCACGCAATCCTTATTTGATCATATTCCAGTTGGCGTTGGCTCAAAAGGCGCGATTCCGATGAGCGCCGCCGATCTTGTCGAGTGATTTCAGCAAAATTGGGCAGATGAAAAAAAAATTTATTTTCAATTTTTTGCAGCTGTCTTGAAATGGGCATGGATTGGACACTACGCGAAGGATATTCATGGGCGGAGGACAAAGAATATTGCGAAGAATATGGTGAGTTTTGGGAATTTTTTTCAAAAATCTCATTTTTTTTTGCTGAAAATCTGCTGAAAATTCGATTTTTTGCTGAAAATCTGCTGAAATTCGATTTTTTCCCATCCAAATTATGAATTGTGAGCAAACGCGCTCCATTGGACACTTTCGTCTTTTTTTCTCTAATGGATTCACGCAATAAAAATGTAAAAATTACACTTTTCCAAATTTTTTCAATTTTTTTTTGGAAAAATGCTCCATGCGCCTTTAATCGACTATTTGAGTTTTCTCGAAAATTTCAAGGAAATTCTCGATATTCGAATTATCAAAAAAAAAACCCAGAAATGAGTGAGATTTTGGCGAATTTTCGCTTTTTTTTCGGATACGGTAATTAAAGGCGCACGTCGATTTCGTGCGCGGGTCTCGCAGCGGCCGATTCTAGTGGCCGCTTTTTTTCGGAAATAGTTTATATTATAAAATATGATGAGAAGAAAAGAACTGAAATTTAGAAAATTGTTCTTCGCTGCAAAATATTTCTGCAAATTCCCGCATGCGCCTTTAAACGTCTACAGTAATCTTAGATTATGATAATTTTTGGGGAAAATTGAGGTTGAATTTACGAAAATCTACTGTTTTTTTTTTCGCAAAATTCCAAGAATTGCCGTATTTTCTGAAAATTGTGCTTTTTTTGCCAAAAAAAAGAGATTTTCCTATTTTTGTCGAAAAAAAAATGAGTTTGAAGGAGAAATCCTCAAAAAAAAAACTGAAAATGCATATTTTTAACGAAATTTTGAATTTTTATACGAAAATCTGCAAAAATTAGTATTTTTTTTGTTAATTAAGAAAACCATTTTTTTTTTGTAAAAAATTGAAAATGAGATTTTCAGAAAAAAAAGTAAGCTAAAAATTGAAAGGATTTTTTTTTCAAAATTTTGCGAAAAATCTCAAATCGTTTGGCTAAAAATGCTAGCTTTTTGGTGGAATTGATTGCCAAAAAAGAAGGAAAAAAATGCGAATTTTTTTCCTGCAGGTCGAATGTTGCAAGCCGATTCGTCGAAGGTGTCGATGCGCGCGAAAAAGCGCGGCCTTCCCCAATTGGGAACCCTCGGCGCCGGAAATCATTATGCTGAAATTCAAGTCGTCGACGAAATTTTCGACGCCTCGTCGGCGCGCACGATGGGAATCGACGAGATCGGACAGGTCGTCGTCATGCTCCATTGCGGCAGCCGCGGTTTGGGACATCAGGTCGGTCGGATCGCATTTTAACGGCGTCGCCGGGGGGTCCTGAAACGAATTTTGAGCAAATTGCGATTTTTCGTCGTGTTACGCTGAAATTCGCCATGAAAATGCGCAAATTTCATTTTCCGAAAAAAAAAATCGAAAAATTTCTGCTGAAATTTTGGTTTGTGATCCAATTTTCGTGAAAAAATGAAGTCATCATCGATTTGAAGCGTTTTTTGAAGTCCAAATTGAGCAAAAATTTTGAGAAATTTCAAAAAAAATAAAAGTAGGTCAACAGAAAATCGATTTGTGCAATGTAGCGCGTTTGCAGGTGGCCACCGATTCGCTGATCGAAATGGAGAAGGCGATGTCGCGCGATCACATTGTGGTGAATGATAAGCAGTTGGCGTGCGCGCGGATCAACTCACAAGAAGGTGATCGGACCCCCCCCCTAGGGACCATTGAAATATATTTTGGGGTTACCATCCAAACAACAACAAAAAAATAATGCCTAGAATTTGCGATTGGGTTTAAGGGTCCCCTGAATCTCGAGGGCCTTCAAAAGCCTATTATGAATCGGGACCAAGATAAATTGGTGACTCGAAGGGACCATCATCATCGATTGCAGGCAAAAACTACTATGCGGGAATGGCGGCGGCGGCGAATTTCGCTTGGGTCAATCGCTCGTGCATCACATTCTGTGTTCGCAATGCGTTCGAGCGCGTCTTCAACATGTCGGCCGACGATATGGAAATGCAGGTGGGCGGTTTTCTTTTTTTTTTTGGTTCGACAAAAAATCGCCGAATTTCCGGCATTTTTCGAGAAAATATTTGAAATTTTTTGAAAAAATTTTGAAAAATCGAGTATTCTTCGAAGAAACCGCGAGATTTTTTTTTGGCAGACATTTGAAAAATTTGGTTTTTTTTCTAGAATTTTTGAGATTGATAGCAAAAATTTTAAAAAGAAACCATTTTTTCAGAATTTTGGTAGCAAATCTGAAAAATTTCGCATTTTTCGAGATTCTTGGAAAAAAAATTTGAGAAATTGAGTTTTTTTTTCTATCGAAATTTCAAGATTTTTTGGCGAAATTTAGAAAATTTCGAGAAGCGTCAAAATTTTTCAATCATTTTGTCAATAAATGGCCGAAAAAAATTGAGTATTTTTCGAGAAATTTTGAGATTATTATCAAAAATGAAAAAAAAAAAACGGATTTTCTAAAACAAAAATCTGAAAAAATTTCGAATTTTTGCGAGATTATTGGAAAATTTTAGAAAATTTTTCAGTTTTCCCGAAAAACGCCAAATTTTTTAATCATTTTGTCAAAAATTGCCGAAATTGTGTGGAAAAATTGCTTAAATTTAAAAAAGTTTGCCTCAAATTTCAGCTAGTTAAAATTTCGCATTTTTCGAGATTAAAAAAAATTGGCTTGCTTAAATTTTTTCCAAAAAACGGATTTTTCATTTTTTTTTGTTTTAAAGTTTTTGTAGCAAATCTGAAAATTTTCGCATTTTTCCAGAATTTTTTTAAATTGAGTATTTTTCGAGAAATTTCGAGATTATTATCAAAAAGGCAAAAAAAAAAGTTTTGTAAAAGAAAAATCTGAAAAAAAAATTGCGAATTTTCCGAGAAAATTGGAAAATTTTTAGAAAATTTTGCAGTTTTCTCGAAAAACGCCAAATTTTTTAATCATTTTGTCAAAAAAATTGCCGAAATTTTGTGGAAAAATTGCAAAAATTGCTCATTTTGCCTCATATTTGCAGCTGGTTTATGATGTTTCGCACAATGTCGCCAAAATGGAAGAGCATTTGGTGGATGGCCGACCGCGTCAGTTGTGTGTTCATCGCAAAGGCGCCACGAGAGCATTTCCCGCTCATCATCCGCTCATTCCGGTTGATTATCAGCTGATCGGTGAGAAATTTTCGAAATTTTCAACCAAAAATGCTCTTTTCAATATCATTTTTGTCGAAAAATTGAGAAAAAAAAAATCGATTAATGTGTTGCAGGCCAACCAGTATTGATTGGAGGTAGCATGGGAACGGCGAGCTATGTGCTGACGGGCACCAATTGCGGAATGTTCCAATCGTTTGGGACCACTTGTCACGGAGCGGTCAGCGATTCATTGAATTTCAGATTTTCGAGCCAAAATTCTGGCAGTTTCCCCGTTTTTTAAGAATTTCAAAACCTTGAAAATGTTGGTTTCACGTCGAATATAAATAAAATGGCGAGATTGCCATAATTGGCCGCTCGGTTGATCTCTTATAGAAGGATGTGTTAAGAGATCAACGAGTAGGCACAAAAATTGAAGATTTTAGCGATTTTTTTGGGAAAAAATTTCGAAAATTGAGTGAAAACGTCGATTTTTTTGGAATTTTGAGGAAAAAAGGCAACAATTGATTATTTTTCCATATTTTGAGAAAATATGGGACAATTCTGGAAAGTTGATTGTAAAAAATCGATTTTTGAGGAAAAAAATTGAAAATGAAGAGATTTTTGATGAAAAATGAGAAAATTTGCGAATTTTTGATAAGAAAATGTTTTTCGAAAAATACCCAAAGGTTTTGCATTAAAAATTAAGCAAAATTTTAAAAAAATTAGCAAAAAATTCAATTTTTAAAAGCAAACTTGAAAATTCGCACATTTTCAGAAGTTTTTTTTGAATAATCGAAAAAAATGCAATTTTTTTGTAGGGTCGAGCACTCTCGCGTGCGAAATCGCGACGAACTCTGAATTGGGAGTCGGTTGTCGAGGATTTGAAGAAGAAGGACATCTCGATTCGAATTGCCTCGCCGAAACTCATCATGGAAGAGGTTTTCTTTTTGGTGTTGTTGACAAATATTGAAATTTGAGTAATTTCCGACCAAATTTATTGAAAGTGTAGGCCCTCGAAGAAAATTTTGTTCGTGAAATTCAATGAAATCGAATTGAGCAACACGCTGACGGAAAATTGCGGACGACACAACAAATTTGACGCGATTTTTCACAATTGATTGTTTTTTTTTTGTTGCTGCTGTTGCGATGGTCCATGATTCTTGCGAGAATTGCTGGATCCTGATCGCCAGGGGTTCACGAGAGTTGGTCAATGTAACTCAGTGAGTCAAGAATGTCAAAATGAGAGAAACGCGAGCTTATATAGTGCTACAAACAACAGAGACGCAGAGAAAAATACTGCGACTTATGAGAGGTGCAGAGAAAAAGACTGTGGCTTACGAGAGGCGAAGAGAGAAAGACTGTGGCTTATGAGAGGCGCAGAGAAAAAGACTGTGGCTTATGAGAGGCGCAGAGAAAAAGACTGTCCATTGTGAGAGACGCAGAGAAAAATGGCGAGAAACATAGATAGAGGGAGAGAGTGAGAGGGTGCTATACAACGAGACACTTCTATAGGGCACGTTTGTGGACTATAACAGATTCATTCAACTTCTTTTTTTTGAGATTTTCATATATTCGTTCATTTTAAGACATGCCCAAATCCATTGTTTGGTCGTTTTACACGAAATCAATAGAAGAAGCGCAATCTATTAGTCACGGTTCGTCCTTGGCCCTGTTGAGGCGAAGGACCACATCATTTCTAGCTTTTCGATCATTGGCTTGAGTGGTCAGCCGTTCTTGTGGTGATCTCCTTCCGAAGCGAGTCCGACCATCTCATGGGAGGCTTTCCTCTTGGCCGTGTCCAATTCCACGGCCGCCACTCTAGAAGAGTTCTCTAAAGGGGACCCGAAGTTTGGGCATGATTCGGATGTCCTCTCGCTGACGATCTTGTTCACGATACGGTGATGCCAACCAATCAACCAATTCGGACCCTTTCGGAAAGAGATTTGGTGAAGGTCCCAAGTCTCTGCTCCTCGGCGCTAGAAGAGCGATGGAATCGACGTTACACGAAATCGGATCGATGGGGATTCTTGATTGTCCTTGACTAGCTTGTTTTATATTATAAATTAACTAGAAATCTTCGAGACTATCGAGGAGTTTGAGAAAAATGAAATTCTTTGATTCGTCGAAAATTTTTTGTCGTTGCTTTTTCGCGAATATCTCTTCGAGGACTGACACTGGTCAAAAAAAAATCCAGCAATTTTGAAGATTTATTTTTTCTTTGTTGAAATATTAAAGCAAATTCAATTCAATGGGATCTTCCAGGCTTCGTCTGCTTACAAGAATGTCGATGACGTCGTCGACACGTGCGAATCGGTGGGAATCAGCAAAAAGACAGTGAAATTACGCCCGATTGCGGTCATCAAGGGTTGAAAACACGGGCTTGTATTTAATTTGTTGATTTTATTGAAATTTTGCCTATAAAAATTGAAAACATGGTTTTTCTAAGAGGAAAAAAATCAAATTGAAATATGAGTTGAACGGGTGGTGGCCGTGGCCGCGGCCGCGAATTATTCGGCCGTGGCGCATTTTTTCGAAATTGTTTTACTTATTATCTTAATTTTTATAAGTTTAAAAAAAAAATATTTTGCCAATTTGTTTTAGAAGCACATTAAATATATTACCATCCATCGAGCGCCTTGTATAATTGTGGACCATCGCACTTTTATCGCGGCGGTTATTCAAATTCGAATTTGAAACAGTAATATTCGGACAGGGTGCTCATTTTTTTTAAAGTGAATTCAATATTTGAAAACATAAATAAATTCAGTTTTTTCGGAATTCTTCGACAACATAAAAATAAGATTTTGAAAGGTCAGGTGGCCGCGAGGAGGATATTGAAGGGGTCTAGCTGATTTATAGTCGCACGACATCGAAAATTCGTTGTTGTCAATATCGAGACTCGATAAGCTATATTTAATTGAACACCGGCTGAGCGTTTAACTTAATTGTCAAAAATCTTGAATTTCCATTTTAAAAAACACATTTTCCATTTCGCCAGCCAGATTTTCGACGGAAATTATATGTTTGACACATGTAGCAGAAGCGTCAGTTCCATATTAGCATTTGCGAGACATCTGTCTGACACCTGCAACACATTTCGTCCAAAAAATCGCCGTTTTATACGACACACGCCGGCAACTACAGTAACATCCGCGCGAGACTCGTTTCTGAATTTGACGCGCGCCTTTAAACCATTACGGGAGTACTGTAATTAATTTTTTTTGCTGCTCGCAAATTCCCATGTTTTCCTCCTATTTTCTCATTTCTTTGTCATTTTTAATTCTCATTTTGGATTATTTTTAAATGGAACATTTTAAAATTGCTAGGTAATTCCTTATTTATACCGAAGACACGAAACATTTTGTTTGATGTTTTTTTTTTTGAAAAAAAAACATTATTTTATTGTCAATTTTTTTCTGTCGCGACAACCCCGCTGAAGCAGTTCGTCAACAAATCGCACTCAAAAATCCGTCCTACCAAAGTGCAGTTTTGTGTTGCGCGCGCGCCAAACGCGTCAGTGTACCGCGCGTATGGCGCAATCGGCGTCGCGGAAAAAAAAACGTGAGTGTCGACTTTAATGGAAATCGACAGGTTTTTTGTCGCCGATTTTTCGCATTTTCCAACACAATTTTGAGAGTTTCTTTCTTAAAATTTAATTCGAGAACGTGACCACCATTTTTGTTCGATTATTTTCCCGTTGAAATCTCATTTTTTGTCTTGGCCTCTCATCCCTCAACGAAATATTGTATGAACTTGTTGGAAGTTCAACAGCTTCTCGTCGAGGCCCCACCCGAACAATTCGCTTATTTAATACTTGTCGTTCTCACGCTGACGCTCACCGTTTCCATTATCGCGTTGTGGAAAAAGTCGAGCTTCATCATTTGGTGTGCGGCGAAATATTCCAATTGTTCCAGGGTACGCCGCTTATTTTCGTCAACGAAACATCGAGCGGCACACGAGGCGCCGAATTTGAACACCGAGCGCGTCACAGAAGCGGCGAGAAACAAAACATCGTAATTTTGGCCAATTATCGAACCAATTAATTAATTGTTTCGATTTCAGAAGTCGAGCATTATCGCCGATTGCCGAAATCGAAATGGATCAACAGTTGCAGTCGTGTTAGTTTTTTTCTGTTTCGTTTTGCAAAAAAAATTTTTTCAACAAAAATTTTTGCCCAAAATTATGTCATTCCACGTTAAAAAAATTATATGTAGTATTTGCCAAATAGAAGCTAAAATTTCAATAAAAATGAATAATTGGACACCAAAAATTGCGAGATGTCGAGTTGTTTTTGGCGAAAATTTTCTATCAAATGGTTGAGGAAAAATTTAATCCTATTATCGCTTAAAAATGACGCATTTGGGTGAAAAACTTGTAAAAATTGCAATTTTCTATTTCGAATCATCGATTTTTGGTTGTCACATGACTCGCGAGACATTTCCGGTTTGTTTTTACAGTATCACCGCAATCGTCGATGGTTCTCAATGGTCAGACCGTCGGATCGTGCACAGATAAGCTGGATGGTGAGATTTTCTTTGAGAAAATGGGCGTTGTCGCTTTAAATTGACGATTTAAAGGAGCATGCCGGTTGTTATATCGGAAATATTGCAGAATTTTCGATTTTTTTTCGTCATGAAAACAAAGAAAAGTTCAATTTCTGAAAGAACTTTGTAATTCAAAATGATTTTATGTAAAAAATTAGCCAGATTTTCGAATTGCCAGAATTAAAAGAACACTGCGATCGTTCCGAGACTCTATTGTGCAAAAAAAACGCGAAATTATGATTTTTTTTTCACCGTAAAACCCCAAAAAGGCCTAGTTTTGTGTTTAAAGGCGATTTTTGAAATAATACACGAGAAAATTTAAAATTGAAGGAGCTCGAGCTTTTCGTGTGATTCGACTATCACAATTATAGAAAAAAAAATGAAATTTCAAATTTTTACGCCAAAAACATGAGAAAAATTATAAGAATCGCAATGAAAATTAAATATTTTTCGGTTTTTTTTAAATAGCCTAATTTTTTCTTGAAAATTGTTCGCTTCAAGACCAAAATTGTGAGAATTATCAAAAGATGATTAATTTCAAGGGACACGATCGTTTGAAAACCGCTTCATGACCTTTTTGATATTCAATTGATTCGATATTTAGAAATTTCGGAGGTTGTCGAGAACTGCCCACAAAAGGCGTTGTCTCATCCGCCGCCGGATTGGATTGATGGTCCGCGCGATGTGTCGGTCCTTCCAATCATTGTGCAATCCACATTTTGCCCCTATGTCGAAGAAGCGTGAGTTTTTTCCTATGAAATTCAGTTTTTTTTTAATTTTGTTAAAAATTTGATGCTTAAAATGCTATTCATGATTTTTTTTAAATAGACGAAAACTCATTTGATTTAAAATGCTCGGTTTTTGCAGGGAATACGCGCTCAAGCAGATGCTGCTCATAATTGAGGATATCACTAATGTCGATGAGCACATTGATTCGTTCGTGTTGTGCTTGAATGCCATTCAATGTCGATTGCCTTCGGTTGAAATGGACGAGCAAGGTGAGCGATGGTTTTTTGCCCACGAAATTGGGTTTTTGCGAAATTTGACAAAAAATTTGGTTTTGTGTGCATTAGGCCTAAATTTGGCGGGTTTGTCTTGATTTTGACGAAATTTGAATGTTTTGAGATTGAAAATACTAAAATCGAGCTGAAAATTTGGTAAATTGTCGAGTGTTTTTGTTAATATTGAAAAATGCAATATTTTTTTGCTTGAAAAACGCTGGATTTCTTTTGAATCGAATTGTCGAATTCTAAAGTAAATTTTGAAAATTTTAGATTTTAAATGCTCAAAATCGGCCTAAGAATATCATTGATACTTTAAAAGAGCAAGCCAAATTTTGCCGAAAAACGAAAACATTTGCCATGAAAAAATATAAAACTTCCAAAAAAAAGTTCTTTTTTGAAAGTTGCCAACTAATTTTTTAAAATTTGCTTTTTAAAGCGATTTTCGTCTAGAAATATTATCATTTTTTTTTGGAAATTCGGGTTTTTATATATTCGCGCGACTGAGTAAACTTGGCTAGATGAAAAATTTAAGGGGGCTCGATGTGTGCACCTTTAACCTATCCTTATATTGCGTAAATCTCCACCTTTAAATTGTATTTTGGCATTTAGCCAATTTTCCGAATTCCCGCCATGTCGACATATTATTACCATCTCAAAAAAAAAAAGCGAGCACCCTATTTACTTGTGGGCCATCGTTTGTCGGAGCGATAATTGAAATTGGAATTTTATTAGTGAAAAGTAGAGTACCTGCGATATTTTTGCAAATTTGCTTTAAAAATTGTCAATTCTTTTTTTTTAATGGACCTACTCATGCAATGAAAAAAATTTAAAAAAAAAATCAATTTTTTTCATTTGAATTCCCTAAAAATTACAAAAAATTGGCGCGAGATATCGTAGTTCTCCGCTATTTAATTTCAAAGGCGCACGCGAAAAGTTGGCGCGGGTCACGTCGCGAAATGTGTACTGTATTTTTTAATGACTGTTTTTTTTCGTTTTTTTTTTATTTTTTGAGACGTTTTTTTTTGGCAATCTGTAAAATTATTTTGTTTAATCAACGCTAAATGTCCATAAAAAGCGTCACCGATCGAAGTCTGCATCAAATCAGCACAAAAATCACTATTTTTCATGATAATTGGCATCTAAATGACGAAACATAGACTTATATTGTCGAATTAGGAGTAATTATACCAATAATTGTTTTTCCCCTCGTTCGTCAATCCGTTACTCATTCCTTCTTCAGCGTTTTCGAAAAAAAATAAAAAATTACAGTATCCATTTCGCGACGTGACCTACGCAACTTTTCACGTGCGCCTTTAAAAATAAATAGCGGAGAATTACGATATATCGCGTCAATTTTTTGTAATTTTCGACGTGCGTGCATAGGGAATTCAAATGAAAAAAAAAAATGGATTTTTTATGTTTTTTTCATTGCACGAATAGGTCCATAATGGTATTCGCATAGCTTTTAGGTTATAAATTAGCCGAATGTTTGAAAGTTTGAAAATTTTTGCAAAATTTGGACACAGTATATTTTAATCTCTTATTTTCATTAGTTTTTTGTTCTCTACTGCCATTTTTCAATCGCGACACACTGAATGAGTAGCTTGAAATAATTGCGGACCATCGTAATTGGTGGTAATTCAAATTTCGATTTCAACAATACGAATTCGAGTACCGTACGATGGATTAGCCTGCGAATCAAACAAATTCTCGATTTGTTTTTTTTGTCGTGATTGTCATAACGAGAGAAAGAAAAGGAAAAAAAACGAAGATTTTTGTAGGCAATCCGGCTTGGGATAAAGTCTATGCGAAGTTGGTGGAAAAATCGGAATCGCCATTCGAATGCTTGATAAATAAAACGGAAAACGGTTTGACGCTGCCGCAAATCTCCTCCATCATCGACACGCTTCCGTTTTTGTTCGATAACATAGCGTTGCATAAGGAATTGCATCAGTGGGTTGTTTTCTTTCAAATTTTTGAAATCGTCAATCGAAACTTTGAGGGCAATATTCATGAAATGAATTATTTTAGACAAAAAAATGGAAAAAATTACATTAAATGTACGATTTTTGCAGCCCTTCATTGGAAAATTTTCTTGCATGAATATGTCCATTAAAAATTGGGTTTTAAGTGGTTTTCTTTTTCTAAATTTGTTTTTTTTTGCCGAATCCTTCAAAATACTAATTATATTTCGAAAATTCCCTCGAATTTTTTTTGGTGCCGCTTGAAATTTTCAAGGTTTTTTTCCCTGAAAATTTGCTGACAATGTGGATTCTTTTTTATAACATTTTCCAGATTTCGCTAAAAAAAAAAACGCTGAAATCCTTAAATCCTTCTTCATATTGCACAAAAAGTCGAACTTTTGTGGTTTTCTTTTCGCCGAAATCTACATAGTACCATTATAAATTATTTTTTTTGTTTCCAGATACAAAACAATGCTATCATACTTGATCATTCTTGTGCTTCTCGAGAGCCCCTCGGTGAGTTGTTGTTTTTTTTTATATTCAATTGTTGTTAAATCCGTTTTGGGCCAAATTGAAATGAATCGCGTTGTCGAGCAAAAAAAAACAATTCGTGGATGCGCCTTTAAAGTGACCCATTCTTCATTAGGCCGACTGTCATTAGGCGCGAATTCGTGTGATCGTTAGGGCGATCCTTGCGATTGATCCCGCCGGAATCGATTTGGCCAATTTTGTGTGATGGTCCTTTAACGATTCGACTAGCCCGAAGCGACATGTCCTTCAAAATTCGTTACTAGCGCTTCAAGGCCCAATCGTGCGGTGATGCTCCTTTAAAGATTGCAACACTTGTCCGCCCACCCATTTCGATGCTATTTCGGGAGTTGTTGGTATTGTTTGCTCGGAGTCTGTCTGGAATACCGCGTTCCCCGTATCGGCTATCATCATTTTCTTTTCCTTCGTCATTTTTCTACCATTTTTTTTGTATTTCGTCGAATCCCCGTCGTATCGGGCCGGACCCCATCGGTGCCATAGTTTGTATTTGCGTTTTGGGGCGCCCGCGCCGCTCGTTTGCCTGCTCGCTGATGCCATCGAAATGCGGTTCGTTGTTTGCCGAAACGCAATCGTCCAATGAAATTGGTCGAAAGAAAGAGACAGAGAGAGAGATGCCAGAGTTCGGCTGATGATGGAACGTTTGATCAACGCCATTGTTGGAATGAGCTGGAAATTTTGAGGATTGTGCCGGTTTTTTTTCAAATGGTCCTTATGATCGATCACAAAAGCGAACCCTCTACACCGAAAATGTGAACTTCGTGAGGTTTGCCAATGGTCCCCAACGATACGCCGAACGAGAATATTGATGAAGTATTTGGAGTCGAGAGAGCCTTTGTGATTTTTGCACCTATGAGCGTCTCGAAAGAGCATTTCACCACAAGACCCTTATAAGAGTTTTTGTGATTTTAGCCGAAAAAGGGAATTTTGATGATCGGCATTGGCAGAATGTTAGCGATTTCTGAGTATCCGAGGTAAAGATTTTTTTAGTCTAGGCACCATCTTGAGCTTTGTCTTTTTGATGATTCTCCGAATCGTAGCAGCGAATTCCAAGAATGTCGAAGTGGCTCTTGTGGCGGTAGTGGTGCCGATTGCCATCCCCCTTCTAGAGTACGGACCATTTTGAGCAAATGCGTAGATCCCTCATTTCCATTTCAGACAAAAAAATATATATAAATATATATGAATGTATGTGCAGAGGAGCAGAAGCCCAACAAAAAATACTGTTTGAAACGTGGAGACAAACCTTTTTGGTGTATATGTTTGTGTGTGTGCCCCTTTCCCCTTTCCCCTCCCCCGTCACTTCCTCTCCCCGTATGTGTATATGATGTGTTGCTTCTGCCAACGCCGCCGTCAGCTTGTGCTCCTCCTGCTCGCGCCCGCGTGTACACTTGTGGCAACACACACACACAGCAAAAAAAAAACGAAAACGCATAGCACAAAAAAATGCGCATTTTTTGTTTGCTCTCACTTCTCTGCTCCTCCAATTCATTTCTCTCTCTCTCTCGTTTTGTTCACTCTGACGAACACCGTGTTGGAAATTGACACCGTTGGAAATACAGTATGCCGAAATTCGAGACGAGCTCTCTCGTATTACAGTATCGTTCGAATTCAGCGCTACACTAGGCTTGAGCGTCTTGACAAGATGATGCGGAAATGTCGAAAATCGAAGCTACAGAATCTCGCTGTTCGCGTTCTAGAGGGTCCCTGGCAGGATTTTTCAATGAGACGTTCAACGCCGTTTTGTTTATGACGTTGGAATTACAATTTGATACAGTATTGGGTCTTGACGCGAAACAGAAAAATGCTGGTGTAGAATTCCTATCTTATAGTTTATGGAAACTACAGAATAATCATTTCAATGAAAATTCCATCGAGGTACTCTGTCTTGTTGGGTCTTAACGCGATTCGATTAGATAATTAATGTTACAGTATATATTGAGATTGCCGGCCAACTCGGGTCTTATTTAATATTGCGGAAAAACACGCAAAATAAAAAATAAAACCACGACTGCGGGTTTTCAAAGTCTACAGTACCTCAGTTTTGATTAAATCGCTGCAAGAATCATAAAAATTTTGTATATGCGTCTTTAATCACAAGTTAAAAATCGTAATCGAAAAACTTGGATTTAAAAAATTAGATAATTAAGATTAAAGGCGCATACGATGAAATTTCATTATTCTTGCAACGATTTAATAAAAACTGTGGTACTGTAGACGTCGAAAAACCTTTTTTGTAGTTTTTTTTCGCAATCTTCATAGTAACATTACAACGCTAACTCGATGATTCGATGATTTTACTCGAACTAGAAGAAGCCCTTGCGGAACTTGTGTGACAGTATTCCTGAATGAGAACTGGTGTTACAGTACACCATGAGGGTGTTGTTAGGAATTTGATTTGGGTTTCGACGATTTTGCGAAACCAACGCGAATGGTCTTGACGCGATGACCACAAACTACACAGAGCTACCGTATACTCGGGTTTTATAGTCAAATTTTTTACAACCATTTTAGGCGACTTCTTTGTCGTTTTTTTTTGTGACAACGGATTACGGTAGTTCCGGTTTCTAGGCGAACGGCGATGGTTGCAATTTTGATTTTTGATGTTGGTTTTCCTTTTGTGTCATTTTCTCGAAAATCGGAAATCGCTAGCTGTTACTAGTATTAGTAGTATACATATATGTATATACGTACATATATGCGCATCACAACGCACTCACATGAGAGAGAGAAGGTCTCGGAGGCGCGGCGCCCACGTATTTGGGATGAGTGAGCACGCAACATGCTAACACACACACTGGCGTTGCGTGCTTACTCTTCTTGAAAAAGGTGCTTCAAAGATTTTGTGATGAAGAGGAAGGTCCCTTTTTTGTGACTTGGCAGTTTTGATGGCGCGACGCCGACCTTGAATCGGATTGTTTTGGCGACGGACGCGGACGATCTGACCGATGTGTATTTGTGTGTGCGTTTGAAGGTCTTTCGGCGGGTTCGAATTTGCGTTATTTTTTTCCCCATTCGGCGCCGATCGCCTTGGACGCGAAATCGACCGTATTCATTGGGGTTGTTGTTGTGGTGGTGGTTCAAATTGATGATTGGTTTACTCGATGGAAGATTGACGAAATGGATATTCTCGTTGTTGTGTTGAAGCCACGATCGGAATATGACTCGATCGTATTCCATGATTCGACTTTGTCGACAAGCTTCATCGATCAGCGGTGGAAAATTGTTGGATCAGGATCGATTCATGAATCGAGCTTGTTGGAGTTGATGGGGACTTGTGCTGTGCTAGATGTCGCAATTTTTAGTCGCGATCCAACACGGCCCGATTCGACAGAAAGAGGCTCGCAGTGGTGAGCATCGAAGAACAAGGAGTGCGTTCTTGATTGATTGGCCATGATTCGAAACAATGGAAAACGTCTCGTCGACCCCCTGAAAATGTTGTTCCGTGTCGTCTTTGCCCTCCTGACTGGGCCGGCGGCGGCGGCAGTGTCGATTTCCTCGTCTTCCTCTAGCGACCTCCCCTCCCCTCCCCTCCATTTGCTGCCATCAATTTCAATTTCAATGGCACACACACACACACAGACATACACACGTACATTTAAACACGGCCGGAAAAAAACTGAGAGGAGAGAGATGGAAAAAGCGAAGGGTGGTTTTGATCAATATTTGTTCGCGATTATTTGTCTCGTTCCCCCCTCCCATCATCATCATCATCATCATTCATCATTCATCACTCATCATTTCCACCTTCGACACGAAAAGAATGGGCTCTTTCTTTTTTGTTGGGACAAGAAGAATGGAGGGTGTTGTTGCAGCTCGAACTGATAAGACGCGAATTCCGTTTGATGGTGATTGCCATATTTAGGCATGGAAAGAAATGCGTTTCCTCCCGCTATGGCGACAACGCGATTTTGATGGATCTGATTGATATTGGCAACTCTCTAGCTAAACATTTTTCTTGAGACGAAACCTCGATAGATGTCGGCAGCTCGAATTGCATTTGGGGAGGCTGGTTGGAATGGATGATATTAACTATGAACAAAAAATGGAAAGGTGCCCGCTCGTCGTAATTTTTTTAAACGCTTCACTCGATGAATGAAAATTCATGGGATTCGGTAGGCCCTCCGTGAATTTGAAGTTGATGTTCGATTAACGGTTCTAGTAAAATGTGTGGAGCGAATTTTTTTTGGTTGGGCAAAATCACGGCATTGACACGAATTTGTAGCCTAGAGGCGAACTGTATCGTTTCTTTATGGGATCTGATGTTTTTTCGGGGATTTTGACCCAATTTTTTTTTCGAAAAATAACGATTTTGATATAAAAACATTGAATTGGTGGATCCGAATACTGTGTTTTCAAGAATTCCAATAGCAAAAAAAAAACCGAGCACCCTTGTGTGGATTTAGAGTGAGAATAAGTGAAGAACTTCTCTCTATGGACACTTTCTATTTTTCCTGAACAATATGTATATAGATTCCGACGTTTAGATAAAAGGATCATCACCAGACGGTCAATTACCTATATATATATATGAAGAGGGTAAATAGAGGAAGATTGAGTTGAGATCACGAATGTATCGAAATGAGTTTGAAATGTAAAAAGTGAAAAACGAAGAGTTCTTCCATTTTAGACAAAGTTATCCAACATCATTTTTTTTAATTAACGATGGATTTGATTCGCAGATTAATAGTAGTTGGTACCCATATTCCCAATGTTTCAGTTCAAATTTTGAATTAGCGCCGATTACGATGGTCCACAATTACTCAAGATGCTCGTTCGCGTGTGTGTGTTTTTTTTTCGTGCAAATTTTGAGATTTTGCTTCAAAACGATGAAATTTGACGGCGTGAAATTTAGCGTTTTGCACTCATTTTCATTGTGACAAAAATGTGAAGTTTTTGCTTCGTAGAGAGTTTTGTGTTCTCGATAATCATCTCGAAATTCTTTGATGTTGACCTTGGAAAAATTTTGACTTGCCACCACCACCACCACCACCATCTTCTTCTTCTTTCTTCTCCATCGAATCCAATTTCTTTGTGATCGATCTCTTGAATGGGTAGGTGCGCGAGCGGCGCGGCGGTCCGCGATGGTTGGCGAGGTCGGCGGCGAGCGATTGCAAAACTTGCTTGAGAGTATTACTCTGATGTAATGTGTTGATTGTTGATGTATTGGGTTGTTGTGTGCGTGTGTGTGCGAGAGGGTCCCGACGCGAAAACGGCGACCTTGGGTCGTTGGGCCGCCCGGGCGCCCTTTAGCCTTTCCCGCCGCCGGCCCCAACGATTTCTCTCTCTCTCTCTCTCTCTCTCTCTCTCTCTCTCTCTCTCTCTTTCTTTCTCTAGAGTTGGGGAGGGACCCTCTTGGTTATTAGTGATGTCTTGCGGAGGGCTCTAGACGTGTTGCCGACCTCTCGGCGCCCTTATGATCCTTTAACGAGGACCCCAATCACACACACACAGTACCAATTTGTTTCTCAGCGTCTCTTGTGATTTGTGCGGTGTCTCATGGGTTGGGGCGCTGAATGACGAGAGAGAGAAGAGGGGGGGGGGTTGCATTTTTGTAGAGGACAAATTGATTTTTGATGGCAAAGGAAATGTCGAAGTTGGAAATCGAACTGTTTTTTCTATTTTTTGCAGCTTCGACGAGAGGCATCAGCGGCGGCCATCACTGGGTTGCAGCGGAACATTTTCTCGCAAGGTTTGAGCGGGACAAAAAAAAAGATGAACTGAAACAGAAAAATGCGAATTTTGTCGAGGCAAATTGAGAAGAAATGCATTTTCATCGAGAAAATTTGCAAAAAAATTTGCCCGAAATTTTATGTGAACTGAAATTGCTGAAAAGAGGGGTGAATTTCTTAGAATCAAGATTTTTTCTCTCTCTTTTTCCAATTCCCCGAGTATGATTCATAATTTTTGATTTTCGACGTTTCGTTGACGCAATTTTTGTTTTGTGCTGACACCGACAAAAATTTTTTTGATAAGAAAAATTTTTTTTTGATGAATGAGAAGAGAAATTGAACGAAAAAGAAGAAGACGAAGAAAAAAAATGGGAATTCAATGAGATTTTACAGAATTCCTACGCGAATGCCTTGTTCCCGGCCTATTTCGGATTGCGAGTCCCGATTATCACGAGGACTCGAAAGAATTGAGTGCTGATGCTCAGGTGCGTTGATTTTTTGGTTTTTTTTTCCGTATTTACAAATTTTTGCCAAATTTTGAAGCGATTCGAGTTTAGCAATTTTTTGAAAAACATTTTCCGTCCATATTTGGGGAGGTTTTTTTGCCATTTTTTGAAGCATCTTCGATTCATAATTGGTGGTTTTTTCTTTGGTTTAACCGAATTTGGACGCAATTTTAAGCCGTTTTTTTCCCGTCTCGAAAATCCGAGCCAAACTAATTTTTTTTTGCGCATTTCCTCGAACATTTTCCATTTTTTTTTTCGCCGTGCTCGATGTCGTCGTCGTCGTCGTCGTCGCATCGCATTGAGACTCTCGAATTATTCACGAGACGCCGACGCTCTCCGTCGTCGTCGTTGGTTTTTTTTTGTGGTGCGCCCGCGCGCGCGCGCCTCGTCGGCCCCTCCTCCTTCCTTTTTTGCGCATTTTTGTTGCTGTGTGTTTTTGGGTTTTTGCTCGGCGCGTCTGCGTCTGCTCCTCTCTCGCTCACTTTTTGTTGTGTCGTCGATGAGAAAAAGAAGACGAAAAAAAAAACGAAGAAGAAAAAATTGGGGCCTGGCCGCCGCCGTCGCTGCACGCTTTCTCTCTCTGCTGTCTGTCATCTCGCCGTAGTTTTTTTTTTCGTGCTGCTGCCGCCGTTGCTGTCTCCTCTCGTTCCCCCCCCCCTTCCCCTTCCCCTTCCTGTGAAAATTGAAATCGAACACGAGTGAGGTGACGCGCGCCAGCGGCGCCACATCGCTCCGAGCGAGGATCGTTGAATCCAATTGGAACGGATTAGGACACTAGAGGAATGAATGAATGATGGTTGGAGGTTGATGAACAACGCGATTTCGAGCACCGGCGAACTTGATGGTTTCGGAAGTGTTTGTCGAGCTTTGACATTCGCGTTGTGGTGTATTCCGATATCGGTAGGGGGCAGCATTGTAATTGTGGGACATTTGTGCGAGATTTCGACATGGAAGCGCATTTTTTTTAAATCATGGAACACGAATTTTACATATACCGGCGGAATTCGAGGAGCTTCACGAGCGATTTGAAATTGCTCATCCTCAATTTTCGTCAAGAGAACTCTTCGAATTGAGATTTGTGGCGAAACCCTGCGCGGACGATCCAGCGGGGTTTCTCGCGTGAGCACGAATGTCTGAAAATGTTTGCAGACGACGTTCGCAATCCTTTGTTCTATTCTTTCGTTGTTGTTGTTGTTGTTGTCTTTTTTCTCTATCTCTTGCAACTCTTCGGCGACTCGAAGGGCCCGCCGTCGATGCCGTCCGACGAAGACGTCGACGACGATCTTGAGCGTTCTCTCTTTCTCTCTTACTCGTTTCGTTTGCCCCAAAAGAAATTTTTGTGTGTGTATGTGCCTGCAAATCGTCGTCGCCGCCGCCGTCAGCGGTTTCTTTTTCGCCCGCCCGCCTGCCGCTGCCTTTTCTCTCTTTTCTGTTTCGCCGTGGTGTGCTCTTCTTCTTCTTCGTCTTCTTCTTCTTCTTGTTCGGTGCGAGACGGCGGGCCCCGGGCCCTCGATCGCTCTTCTTCACTGCGCCTCAAATCGCTCGATGTTCTTGGCGCGCTCACACACACATATACACAACACAACACGAAAAATTGGCACCGCGCCCATTCGCGCGCTCGCTCTGCGTGTCGGTGGCCACGTAGTGGGGCGCGCGAGCGCGGGGCGTGGCCCGCCAGCTCTCTCTCGCGCCACTATCTCAGTCTCTGCCATTCGCCTCCCTCTCACTCGCGCTCTCTCTCAAACACTCGGCCACGCCCACTTTTTTGTTGAGACTTGTGTGCTGCTTGCTGCGGGGTTTTTGGGGCGGCGTGCGGTGGAGGCATATGGTCATGTGTTCGGTGTGCCTCAGTGTGTGCGTGTATGTGCGCGTGTGTGTGCATTTTTGCGTGAATTTTGATGTTTTCATGCTGACGATGATCCCATTCAATTTTTGTTAGGCTCGCACACGCACACACATATATGTATATGTGTACTCATGAATACCGTACCCCCCAATCGCCTACAATGAATTATTATCTGCTGGATATTCTTGATTATATTGTTGGCTCCTTCTCAATTATTTTCATTCGCCTCGCCTTGTTGGGTCAGTCGGCCCTGACGCTGAAAGACATGGGTAGTGAGACGAGTCGTTACCGTATCACTATTCTGTTTTTCGCCGTTTGGCGCGTGACGTTCATTTTCGAATTTTTTTCGGTCCGGTCTCCGTTCTATTCCGTTTTTCTGTGGCGCAATTCACTGATGGCGATGATGGTAAGCGATGAGCACAGTTTTGTGTCGAATTCATTTTGGCAGGTGGCAGAAGACGAAAGAAATTGCCGGTAGTTGGAGGTTCCGCAAAATCAAAAACCTCCGACGAGCTCTCGGATGAATGCGACGAGAAATTGTGGGGGAATTTGGGGGGCGAAGCGGGGCGGTTCGAAATCGATCGCCGAAACGTTTGAATTTTTGCTTGAAATTTGAGGATTTCACACAGTTTTTAGGCAAGAATGTATCAGAGAATATAGGTCTTCCAAAAAAAAACCAAATTGGCCGATTTTAGCCACCCCAGTTTTACAAGTTTTTTTTTTGGATTTCTGAGAAGAAATTGGCATTCTAATTCCATCTTCAATGCGAATATTTGCGAGAAATTGCCAGAATTGTGGAAATTATTCGAATTTTGTCATTGATTTTTGAAAATGGTTGATCATTTCGGAGTTTTTGATTGGAAATTTGTCGATTTTTGGGATCGCAAAACAAATTTTGAGCGGAAAACTCGGATTTTCGATTGTCTCTGGCCAAACAAAAAATTGAGATTTTTCGCTCGAAATTGATTAAATTTGATGGTTTTTTTGTCTGACAAGAGTCTCTCATATCCTTTTTGGTTTTAAATGGCAAACCAAACTTTTGAGCCAGCAATTTGTGACTTTTTTGCGGAATTGTGTGGAAATTTGTGAATTTTTCATCCTCGAGGAGGAGATTTGCATTTATTTTGCCGAAAAAATCTCGATTTTCGCACAAATTGGCGATTTTTTTTTGACATTTTGAAAGAAAACTTTGCATTTTTCATAATTATGAGCTCAATTTCACGACGACATTGGCAAATTTTCGAGCCGTCGAATATTTGGTGTGACTCTTCGTCGAATTGGCACATTCCGAAAATAGAATCAAACTCGCAAGCCGTTTTTTTTTTCGGTCGTCCTCGCTTCCCTATTATGGGCGTTGTTGAATTTCGAACGATGACGTCGTCGATTAATTTAAGAAGAAAAAAAATCACCAAATTTCTGACTCGTTTCTTCTTCTCGCCGTCAAATTTTTTTCCTCCTCGTCCCGAATGACGATGTTATTGCATTGTTGTTTATTTTGTTGTTGTTTTTGTGGTTTTTGTTCTTCGCTGAATGACGGCACACGCACACACACTTACGCAGACGGCGAGGATGAGGCGGAGGAGGAGAAGGCCAAATATGGGCAATTTTTTTGTTGGTTTGGCGATGCAAATGAGTCAGAAGGGTGTCGTATTATATTTTTTTGTTGGATGTTGAGGCACATAAATGACTGGTTTATGGGAAAATGGGTTTTTGGCGGCGTTTCTTTTAATCTGAAAATGATAGCAAAAAGCTCGGCTTTTTTTTGTATGGAGCAAATGAACAACACGAACCTTTTTTGCAATTTTGGGCGTTTTTTTTATAGGAAAAATAAGGAAATTTCCGATTTTTGCCCGACAAATACTATATAAGGCTTCGATTGAAGCTGGAGAATTGAAATTGGGAAAATGTGGAAGATATTTTTATGGCAATTCCTTTTTTGGAGTTGCAAAAACTATTGGGACAATTTTTGCCAAAGCAACATTTTTCATTTGTGATTTTTTTTTTCTTCTGAATTTCGAGAAAAGCTTGATCAAATGTCAACACTTGTTGGAAATTGTACGATTTTTTTCCGAAAATCATTTTTTTGGTTTGATTTTTTTTCTTTCAAGAAAATTTCGCAATTTTAGAATTTTTTTTCGATGAAAATTTGACGGAATTCCCCCTCTTTTTTTGTGGTCTTTCCTGGAATTGAATTGTTACACAGTCGAACGAGTGCTACAGTAATCAATTGGCGAATTTTCTCGAATTTTTCGTTCTAATTTGAAAGAACGGGTTTTGGCGTGTCGAGGTCCAGGTCGGCTACTTACTTCCGGCAACGGGTATTCGGAATTTTCAGAAATGGGTGTTTTTTGAAGTGAATTGCTATAACGGGGAGCGGCGGTGCCGATGAACGAAATTGGCGATTTTTAGAGTATATTTGAATAGAATGATTGAGAAATCATGAAAAGTTGATGGTAAAATTGAGATTTTGGTTGATTATTGTAGGTTTTTTAAAAGCTAAAAATTTGGCATTTTTAAAGTGATTTTTGACGTAAATTGGAGAAGCGTTGAATTTTTTCCGAAAAATTTGATTTTTTGGCTATAAATTTACAAAATTTAAAGATTTTTGTCTTGAATTTCGAAATTTTTCGTCGAAAATTTCCGATATATGTTTTTTTTTCATTCAAAATTAACAAAATTGCAAAAAATCAACAAAATTTTGGCGATTTGAATTTTTTTTTTGGTTTCGCAAATCAGCATTTCCACACTTAATTAGTCGATAATTAGATTATAAACAAATTTTGTTTATTTATTTATTTTGTTGTGTAATTAAATGGCAATTTTGTAATTTTCCTTGGGCGGGGTTTTTTTTTCAAAAAATTTCAAATTTTTGAGCAAAAATTTCAATTTTGCTCCCCCCCCCCCAATTTTTCGAAAACCCAAAAAAAATTCAAATTTGCCACCACCACCTGTTTTCATGTTTTTTCTCTGCGTCTCCAACTCTCTCTCTCGTTGACCTCATCCGTCATTTGGCTGCGCGAAATTGCTCTTTGTTTTGGGTTTGGCGCCAATTGGCGCCACGCCAACACACCCAAAACAAATGGGGGGGGGATGGCGGGCGGATTTGAATATTGATGAATGAGGCGTTCGACGCTTTTTTTTG